GGTTATTTTCACTCATGCTTTGGAGATCCATCCAACTCGTTTGTATCCGTACTTCTCCTTTTTTTATTGCTAAGGAGCATTCCATGACACAGCCGTACTATCACAGTATATTTAGCCATCTGTTACAGATCATTTTGGTTGTTTCCAGTTTTGGACAGTTACAAAAAAAGCTACTAATGAGCAGTTAAATACATGTAGGATTTTGCATGGACGTATTCTCATTTCTGTGGGATAAATGCCTAGCAGGGCAATTGCTGGGTCATGGTTAAGTTTGTTTAGTTTAAGGACCCGTTGAACTATTTTGCAGAGTGATTGTGCCATTTTACATTGTCACCAGCAATGTATGAGAGAGATGCAGTGTCTCTGAATCTTCGTTGGCATTTTCATTATTGTTTATTTTAGTTGTTATGATAGGTGTGTGGTGATATATTATCATGGTCTTAATTTGCATTCCCTGATGGCTGGTAATGTCGAACATCTTTTTCATGTGATTCGCTTACCATCCATCTTTCCTTTTTGGTGACATCCCTTCATATCTTTGGCTCATTTTCTAATTGACTTGATTTTATTTTGTCTTTGCTGTTGAATTTTGCAAATTCTTTTTTTTTTTTTTTTTTTTGGTTTTTCTCTGGTACCGGGAACCGAACTCACGACCTTGCGCTTGCCAGGCAGGCGCTTTTGCCGCTGAGCTAAATCCCCAGCCCCCGCAAATTCTTAATATATTCTAATGTGAATTCTTTGTCAGTTACATACTTTGCATGTATTTTCCTCCAGTGTATAGCTTGTCCTTTCATTCTCTTAGAAGGGACTTTCACAAAGAAAATGTCTTCAATCTTTGGGAAATTCACTTTATTGATTTTATAAAATTTACTGGTGGTGCTTTTGATGTTGTGCCTGAGAACTGTTCAACAAGCCCTACTAGATGTGAAGATTTTCTGTTTTCTTGTACAATTTTACACTGCTGTTTGACATTAAATGTGTGATCCATTTTGAGTTAATTTCTATATAAGGCGTGAGGTTTAGGTTGAAGTTAATGTTTTTTCCCTGTACATGTCCAGTTAATGTCAGCACCATTTTTTGAAGTCATGTTTCCTCCACTGAATTGCTTTTGCACCTTTGTCAAAAGTTCTGTGGCTATACTTAAGTGAGGCTGTTTCTGGTTTTCCATTGATCTGTGTGTCTATCTTTATGTCTTAAGTCTTAGAACTGGATAAATTAATTTATTCTACTTCATATTTCTTTTCCAAAATTTAGTTCCTTTACCTTCCCGTGTTAGTTTTATTTTTTTTTTTTTTTTTTTTTTTTTTTTTTTGTACTGGGAATGGATTTCAGGACCTTGCGCTTCCCAAGCAGGTGCTTGTGCCACTGCGCTATATCCCTGGCCCTTCATACAAGTTTTAGAAAAACTTAGATTTATACAAAATCGAGCTGGGATGTTTTTGAGGGAAGGCAGCTTTTGATTAGAAGTTTGTTTAACCTACCTATAATTTTGAGAATTAATATCTTTACACTGAGTCTTCTAATACACAAACATGGTACGTCTCTTCTATGTTTAGATCTTCGTTTTTTTATCGTCAGCGTTTTATAGTTTATAACACTCCTGCTGTGCTTTGTGAGATTTACAGTGAAGTATTTTTGAGCTGATATAATTGTATTTTTTAATTTCCACATATACATAGCTAGTACATAGAAATCTAATTTCTTGCACATTGATCTTAAAATTTTGCAGCCTGGTTAAAGGGGGTCATTCCAGAAGGTGTTCTTTTTTTTTTTTTTTTAATTAAGATTTTCTATGTAGATCATTGTGACATTTGGTAATAAGGACAGTTTTATTTCTTTTTGATTTGTATGCTTTTTATTTCTTTTTCTTGTTGCACAGGTGAGTAACAGTGTTATGTCAGTTCAATGTTGAATAATAGCGTTAGGAGCAAACTTGTTCAGTTTTTCACAACTAAGTACATTAGCCATATTTTTTTTTTTGTAGTTATTCTCTGGCAGGTTGAGAAGTTGAGCACTGCAAGTTTTTCATGAATGGATGTATTTTGTCAAATGTTTTTTCTTCATCAATTAAAATAACTATGTGGTTTTTCTTCTTAATGTGTTACTATAGTGGATTATATTGATTAGTTTTTGAATATTGATCCAGTTTTGTATACTTTGAATAAAATCTACTGGGTCATACTCTGTAATTCCTTTTATATATTGTGGAATCCTACTTGGTAATAACATTTTGTTAAGTATTTTTGTGGCCCATTTATGAAGTATGATAGTGGACTGAAGTTTTCTTTTTTGGTACTGTGTTTGTCTGATTTTTGTATTGGTAACACTGGCTTTATAAAATTAATTGGCAAGTGTTCTATCTCCCAATCTCTGGATGAGATTATATAGAGCTAGTATTAATTTTTTAAATGCTTGGTAGAATTTTCCCGTTAAACTCTGGGCCTCAAAATATTTGTGGGAGATTTTTGAATTATGAATTAAATTTCGTTATAGTTACAGGGCTATTCAAATTAAGTGCTTCATATTGGGGATTTTGTGGCAATTTGTGTTGTTTGAAGAATTGTTCTGTTCCATTAAGGTAAAATTCATGTAGCCAGTTGTTTGTAGTGTTAGCTTTGGATATCTTAGGGTGTCTGTTGGATTTATAGCGATAAGCAGTTTCAGTCTTGAAATTGGTCGTTGTTTTTTTGAGATTCTTGGCTACTGGCCTGTCAGTTTTATTGATTTCTTTCAAGGAACCAACCTTTAGAGGACCAGTTTTTAGATGTTTTATTGGTTTTTGCTTTCAGTTTTACTGCTATCTCATTTTTTTCTTTGATGTGGTTTTTACAAGCTTTTAAGAATGGAGCTTTAGATTATTGAGATCTACTCTTAAATTTTTTTGAGAATTTGTAATTTTTCATGGGAGATTGAAAAAAATAATTTTGCTATCAAGTGCAGTATTCTGTAAAAGAAAGACACCGTTCGTGCTGTTGTTGAGTTTTTCTGTGTCATTGTTGATTTTTTTGTCTGTGTGTCAATTACTGAGCAACAAATGATTAAATCTCCCAACTGTATTTGTGGCTTTTCTAGTATTCTGACAGTTCTGTAACATGTTTTGTAGCTCCATTGCTGGACACATAAATATTTAGTATTACTGTATTTTGGTTGCTTGATCCAAGATTTATCATTGTGTAATCTTTCTGAACCTTTTACTTTTTTCTTTTTAATATTTATTTATTTATTTATTTATTTATTTACTTATTTTTGAGACAAGGTCTCGCTGTGTAGGTCAGGCTGGCCTAGGCTGGCCATAAACTCTTGGTAATCCTGCCCTAGCCTCCCAGCTGCTGGGATTACAGGCATATGCCACCATACCCAACTTCTCAACCTTTTACTTTAAAAATCTATGTACATTGCTATATTTAGGTAAGTTTCATGTAGTTGGGTCTTTTTTTATGTTCTCTGCTAATCTGTTTTAGTGTATTTTAACGATTTATATTTTTACCTCCTTATGCTTTAGTGTTTTTTGTAAAAAGTCTCTAATAAGTAAACATTCTTGGCCAGGGATGTACTGCAGTGGTAGTGTGCTTGCCTATTATATTTGTTGGGTTCAGTCCCTAGCACCTCATTCCCCCCCTGGTGCAGAAACAAAAACTTTACCAGTCCTGTTAGTAAGAAGTACCTGAAGAGCTGTTTTGTAATTATTCTGCTTCTGCCTTAGAGATTTTGAATCAGTAGGCTTTTGGGCTAAGAGGAGTCTTGAGAAAACTTTCTGGTTTTTGATCCCATAGTATACATAGTCAAGAATCATCAAACTAGGTAAAGTCTAAAATATTTTGCAGTTAAGAATTTATATAACAGATGACCTATAACACTAGAATTTTGGAAGTCCAAAAAAGGTGAAGAAAAAATTCTTCTGTGGCCTTGTGGTTGAATGCCTGTGACCACTGTAGAGCTGTCACTTCTGACTGTATAGGCTGTCATGTAAAACTATAGGGCTCTTGTTTGCCTGCACTGGGGTTTCTAAATCCTGGTGCTGTTGAGATTGGGCCATATACTTTGGGGTGGAGTGGCTGTCCCGTTCTTCATGAGATGTTTAGCAGTATCTCTGGCCTCTACTATCTAGAGGCCAGATACATTACCAAAAGTCCTTTAGTAGGAAAATCGGGCTGGAGATAAGGCTCAGTGACACAAGTGCCTGCCTGGCAAGCTTGAGGTCATGAGTTCGATTCTGGTACCAAAAAAACAAAATAGAACAAAAAAACCAAAGGAAAACCACTCATCTAGACAGTAGTGTGAATAGTGCCCAGAGTTTGGCAACTTTCTTTTCATTATATTCTTTATTAATTACTACTTAAATAGAAGGGTGTATGTACACAAAAACCGAATGTTACAGGATAGGCAAAGTACAACTTAACAGCCCATTGTGATCCCATGCCCGTGTCAGTGTCTGGATATTAAACCACTGCTGTTATTACATCCTCTTGCCCTGTTTATAGCCTGATTGCTACGGCCCTTTCAGTGAGTTCATCTTTCCTGTGTTACGTATTTAGCATTTATCTACCACATGGCACAGACAACTGTGTGGAGGAAGAATTAATAGTTAAAAGGTAAAGTGAACCATTAGTATGGTTAGAAGTGAATTGGAAAATTGGAAAAGGATGAATCTGGTGAAGTAAGAGTCAGATTATGAGAATCTGAATTCTAATACTATGTGTTTGTAATGGTACCTTTGCTGTGGAATATTGCAAGTCTCTGGGTGCCAAAGTATCTAAAGCCGAACTTTTGATTTGGAAAAGAAATTATGACTTCCAAAATGACTCTTCTAAATGTAATTCTTTTGCCTTGTCTAATTCTATTGATAATCAGATTTTTTTGTCTTCAAGAATGGACATTGACTCTAAATACAGGTGAATGTGAATTACTGGATTAAACATGTTCTTTGAGCATTTAGTTCTAAAATGATAATGGAATCTTGTGTTTAATTTTTAAAATTCAGGCCTGCAATTAGTACTTACTTTTCTTTCTTCTCTTTTAGTCTTGTGAAAATGCCATTGTGTGCTGGAAACCTGGCAAAATGGAAGATGATATAGATAAAATTAAACCTAGTGAGTCTAATGTGACTATTCTTGGGCGATTTGATTACAGCCAGTGTGACATTTGGTACATGAGGTTTTCTATGGATTTCTGGCAAAAGGTAGCAGCATATTTTTACATTTTGAAATTATTTCACTTAAAGACCATTGTGATTCTAGCATTTTCTATTCTTTTTCCTCTAAGAATCTGTCTTCATGTTTTGATTACTCTGCCCTTTGATATTATGTATTCTACCTTTATGGGTTCTGCACATCATCTGCAGTGACTATCTTGAACCGGCAAACCGGCAGTTAAGTATCAATGGTGGAAGGTCATATTACTATGACTGAATATTTTAGTGAATGGAGTGTTAGTTTCTTATATAGCTTTTTTCCTAGAGAAAATTTAGAAACATTAGCATGGAAGATAGAGACAAAATACTCATTACCCAAAGTAAAATAAATGTGTTTTTAAGAGGTTTTAGTAATAAATTAAGATTTATTTCTCTAAGAAAATTTTGGAAGAGCTTTCCATAGCTTTTGTCAGAGTTCTTTAAGGCAGAATAAGAGACCACCATACTAACAGTCTCAAGTGCAGAACCCCTCATAAAATTGCAGAATACCTTATTTATTCAAGACACCTGTGAAATATTAATTGCTCTTACTCCTGTTTACAAATCAGGAATTTAAGATCCAAAGAAATAGTCAAGAGCACAGTCAGAGGCTGAAGCCCAGGTTTTTCTGAAGTAAGAAAAATGTCTTAGGATTGATTGAATGTCTTCGAGTGTGGTGATTTTATTAATACGATGTTTTTAAAAATATGTTTATGCAGATGCTTGCATTGGGCAATCAGGTTGGCAAACTTTATGTTTGGGATTTAGAAGTAGAAGATCCTCATAAAGCCAAGTAAGTATTCAGAAATTTCTAAACAAAATTTCCATTTTTTTCCAAACTTTTATGACAGTATAGAGGAAATCATTGTTATTTGTAGTGTCATCCTTTAATCATTTTAACATTTACAAGTTTCAGAGCTAAAATTTTTTTATTTCAATAATGACTTGTATTTCCTGAGTACCTTAGTGACAAGGTATTTCTCTTACACAAATTACTCTTGAATTTATAATCATCCAAATTGTATGAAATTTGAGGTAGAACTCTAATGAAGATTTCTAGTTTTAAATGCTTTTTATGAAACTTGGAACATCTGTTCATTTTCTTACTCTTTTAAGTAGATAAAATGTATGACATTTAACTTCTTGTCATGTTTTTTCCCTAGATGTACAACACTGACTCATCATAAATGTGGTGCTGCTATTCGGCAAACCAGTTTTAGCAGGGATAGCAGCATTCTTATAGCTGTTTGTGATGATGCCAGTATTTGGCGTTGGGATCGACTTCGATAAAATATTTTTTCCTAACCAAAATTAGAGTGTGTTGTCTGTGTAAAATAGAATTAATGTATCTTGCTAGTAAGGGCACATAGAGCATTTAGACTTGTTTTTCAGCGTTCAATCAGGCTGAGCTGAATGTAGTGATGTTTACATTGTTTACATTCTTTGTATTGTCTTCCTGCTCAGACTCTACTGCTTTCAATAAAAATTTATTTTTGTAAAGCTGTGTTTTAGTTATTTTATTGTAATGAAAACAAGTTGAAAGTAATAAAATTATGCCTTACCTTTTTTGTTTTTTTAAACTGGAGAAAGTCGTTTAATCTACAGATTAAGTACAGGCTCGCCAGGCGTGGTGGCGTATGCCTTTAATCCCAGCACTTGGGAGGCTGAGGCGGGAGGATCATTGCAAGTTCGAGACCAGCCTGGGCTACAATGTGAGCTCAAGGCCAGCCTGAACTGCAGAGCGAGACCCTGTCTCAAAAAAAAGAAAGACAAGTATAGGCTCTACAAGTAAACTGCATTTATAATTATTGGAGATTGTATGTCTTATGTTTCATATTTTCAGTGATTTCTTCTGTGATAGTTTCATAAATACTGTATGTTTAAAATTTGTTAAGAGAATATATATTAATGTTTTCTTGCCATTAGATTTGTAACCAGCCATTAGTAACTTTAGTGGAAATGTTTTTAGAACAGAAGATGAGAGGATGTAAAGTTTAAATGCAGTGGGTCAACTAATGACAGAAGTGGAGAGTTTGCCTGTGTAATGAGTTGCTGCCTCCTTTTTTGTAAGGGATATAACTGGCTAAGCGAGTAAGATAGATGAGTAGATCTCACAGGGTTGAGAGAGTTGAGATGATGATGTTTTTCTTAGACATAAGGTGCACTGCATTTACTTGTGGGTTAAAAAAAAAAATCCAAAGAATTAAGACCAGGATTACATGTGGAGGGGTTAATCTGAAGCAGTGGAGTGAAGAATGAGTGACTATAAAGCTCAGTAGTTAGAAAGCAAAAGTACTGTAGTTGTAAAGCTAAAGTTACAAGTTAAGGTAAAATGAAGCGAGGGTTCAAAAAAACCCCAGAATTTTGTTTTTAAAGATTAACAATATTTTGTTTCTATAAATCATGTATTTATAAAATTTAGTTTTGATATTGTGTACTAATACAGTATTTGATACTGTTCCCTTTTGAACTGTTTCTGAAGCAAGTTTTACTTCCCTGGAAATAAGGTTTTAACCCTCAGTCAGTAGAATTATTATCACTGAGACACTTTACCAGTAAAATGGAGAGAAAGCTGAAATCCCACAAAACAAAGATTAGGACAATTAATAAACAACTATAGTTCATTTAAAAATTTCTAAGTTAACCAGTTCTGAGTCATGAAATAAAACTGCTATATAAAGGAAGTTATATAGAAAGATTCCTAAAGAAAACTGGGGGAATATGTAAGAAATTACCAAGTGCATATGAAAGATGAAAAGTACAGTGTAAGTTGCTCTTAGAATCAAGTATGCATATGGCACAAAGTATAAAAAAGTGGAAAATTTCAAAAGGCAATAATGCTAAATGCTACCATTTTATTTAGCTATATTCTGGCTACTTTGTAGTACTTGAAAATTTAAGAACCTTTATAACAACCTTAGGAGGTAAATACTGTTACCCAATTTTAAGGACAGAAAAGGAGACATGAGCATGTTGGCTTAATGTTCTGGGACTTCTTAAGTACAGAGTTGGAAGACACTGGTAGAAATTTTCCTTCATGTTTGCTTCAGCTATCTCAAAAGACTGCCTAAGATAATAAAGAGGGTCAGCGCTTTTGGAGCAGCAGGACCTTCTCAAATTCTGATTCTCTGTACGGCTTGGGCTGGGAAGACCATCTGCTTATGGCTGGTGGCCTAAACTCAGATATTTCAAGCTAGGCAAAGACTCTCTTCCTTTCTATAAAAGGAAAAGGAATTGAAGCTGTGAAAGAGAGAAGGAGTACTGTACTGGTGGCAATTAGTACGTGATGTCATTGCCTGTGAAACAGATGGAGGCAGATATTTTGCAACAAACTCTACTAATTAAGTATGGCCAAGCGCTATGCTAAGTGAAACAGTCATTTAGTCCTCACAGAAAGGGAAGGAGGTAGGTACAGTTACTATTTTTATTTTGCAAATGGACCGTTGAAAATGTTAAATACTTTGGTCACAGGTTAGCAAATTTATGGGAAAAGAAGTGAAGTTGGAAGGAGCTACTATAAATTTGTTAAGTACAACAAAACTTGTTAGAAGTACTTCTGAGGTACTGTTTAGCAGAAAGAACCACGCAGTTAGCACGACTTCATTTCGGGCTCCAACATTTAATTTTGTGTAAAGATTTGGGGCCATTGTACTCTGAGCTTCAATTTCTTTACCTATAAAGCATTACAGTACTTACTTCACAAGGTGAACTGATACTGTTACTCTAAAATGTCACACGGACGTGGGGAACGTCTCCTCGTGGTGCGGTAACTGCAGTTTGGGCTCTGGATGGTGAGGATGGAAAGCTGGGACTACAGACTCCGGCACGCAAAGCCTCCCAGCTCCCTTGCCGGAAGCCAGCTCAGAGCCTTCTGGTACTTGTAGTCATTTCCTGGCGCCGGCTCTCCTCTCACCCTTAGAGGGAGACTGCGTGTGTAAGCCCCGGAAGTACTCTTCGCCTGAGAGGCGTGCTGATTAGGAAGGGTGAGAGGTCGTGGGTCAGGAGGCGTTCCCGCCGCCAGCCTTGTCGCCTTGTAGTGGAGAGGCTGACTCCCACTCGCAAATTCTGGAAGGTTCTCGGGCTCCACTAGGGAGGCAACCACAGTATTCCTAGTCGCTGATTTCAGGTCCCTGCCGAGTGGAGCCGCCGCCGCCATGTTTGGCTGCTTGGTGGCGGGGAGGCTGGTGAGGATGGGGCCGGGCGGTATGTGGAAGGGGTCAGGATCCTGAGGGCGAAGTCGGGGAACAGGGTCGGCGCGCCGCTGCTGGAGACTCCGGGAAGCGTGTTGGTGTCTGTCTGGCCGCGTGTGTCGGGTGGAGCGTTGGGCGCTGGGGTGCTCTTCTGACTCCAGACATGTTCGAATAGTACTCGCAGTATTTTCTGCCATGTATGGCGGGTGCATATTGTGTCAAGTACCGGGCTGAGTGCAGTGCACGCCTTTTTTTCAGTTGATGTTTCAGCCTCGGATGCAACGCTTGTTTGGTACTTCCGACGTAACCCTCATTAACTGTGATGCGGTCATTCTCATTTTACAGTTGAACTTGAACCCGGCTGGCAGTATAAATGCTCGCCCAAATTCACGACGTGAGTTAGAAGTAAACATGGGATTTTAATCTAGTCTGTAGCAAGCTGTCAAAGAGGAAGCTGCTTGGGCACCTTTCTAAGGATCCTGGTAAAAATACGCTTAATGTAATTGGAAGTTGGCGGATAAAAACGCTGAAATTTAGTTGCGAGCTCTTTGAGAGACTGGAAAGGGTGCGAACAGTGTTTTCTTGTTGGTCAAAAGGATAAAATGCCTTGCCAGGTTATTGGAATTAAATGTCATCAGTATCAAGAGCATTTAAGGAATAATCTGGAAGGCAAGTCTTGTTTGCGTTCATAGAAACACAGACATCCATTTTCAAATCTGACCCCTTTCATTTGGAGTTTGGATTCTCTTTTCTTTTTTTATTTCTTTTTATTTTTTGAGACAGACTCTCGCTTTGTAGTTCAGGCTAGCCTTGAATTCACTCTGGCCTCCAGCTCTTGGCGATCCACCTGGCTTAGTCTCCCAAGTGCTGGGATTACAGGCGCATGCCAGCGTGCCCTGCTGGAGTTTTTTTCTTTTCCCTATGTTGTTAAATGTTGTTGAAGGTTTTTCATCCCTTTTAATAATGTATTCTGTACCTAATTTTAAGAAACCACGAAGACTAGCCCCAAAGCTTACTGTCTCGAATGACCAGGAGAGGACTGTGGTAGTTGGTAATCCTGATGAGGTAATTTGGACTGCCCCTTCCTCTTTTGTTTTTTGCTGTGCTAGGGATTCCATCGCACATTCTCGCAACACTCTAGCACTGCCCTTTGTAAAATTTTGAGACGGGATCTTGCTAGTGGCCAGGCTGGCCTCCGGTGCGCCCGTAGCTGGGATTACAGTTGTGAGCTTCCTTGACTAGTTTGCACCTGTTGTGTGTTTGGAAAAGGAAAGGACCAATTTGGGATGAGTGTGGGATTGGAGTGTCATCAATGAATGATATTAAAATTACATGTTTTTAAAGAATGAAAAGCTGTAGGGAATCCATGTATCAGGTCAAACTTGGAAGAGAATTTAATTATAGTAATTATCTCTTTACCCAACTTCTAATTTCTGTGGTGAAAATGTCTATAGAGGTTTCTTCAAGATTTTCTTTGGGGGGGTGTTGGTTCTTTAATTCTGTACTATTAGCACATGTAAATTAAAATAAAGAGCATAAATCAAAATGAAGGGTGAATAGACCTAGTGGCATCTCAGAATTTATTCTGTCAGCAGAAAAGTGCAGTTATTTAAAGTTTTCACTGTAATTTTTATTCTTTGAAATTTTTGTTAAATTTTGAGCAAAATGAAGCAAAAATGAAGGAAAATGTCTACTCTTTTTTTTTTTTTTTTAAATTAAGGATTAATGTCAGGCTGAGGCAGCAGGATCACAAATTGGAGTCCTGCTTTAACAATTTAGTAACTTAGAAGTACCTGAGACCCCGTTTTTTAAAAACAAAACAAAACAAAAAAGGCTGGGAATGTGTTCAAGTCCTGAGGTCAGTCCCAGGCACTCACACAAAAGGATGAGCTTGTCAATACAGATTTACCCTCTGGTGCCTTGTACTAAGTTGACATTTAAAAAGTATTTCTTTTGACTTTATAATTTAGAGATGGAGTTAAGTTTTCTTCATTAGTGGATATGATATAGAGGGAATATAAGTATTTTAGTAACAGCCGGGCAAATACTGGAAACAGTAAGTTGCATGTAGGTATAAGAATGGACTGTTGAGTCTTCAAAATAATAGTAATTCAGGTTTGGTATTTTGGTGATTATCAGTTGCAAGTCAAAAGCAAAAATCAAATCAACAAAAATCACATAAGTAGATTTTTGACAGTTAGATACCTGAGCACTCAGAATTAATATTTTTGCTAATGCTATGCAATAGCATTATTGATATTCTTCTAAAAATGTAAAAAAAGTTTCTGTGAAAGATTATTCACACTGTGGGATAAGATCTCAGTTTAAAAATTACTGTTTGGTTCTAGAACAAAACTAGATTATGAAATGAGTTTAGGAAAGCTGTATATAAGTTCCCAAGTATCAGAATTTGTATATTTTATGTACAGGGGTAGCCCTCACTCATGCCAGTAGTTACCTTCTCTAAAATCTTTATGAACACTGGAATTGGAAAGTACAGGATGATCACCCTGAGAGCCTCTAGTCACAGCTTTTTTTTTTTTTTTTTCCTTCAGTACTGGGGATTGAACTGAGGGCCTTGAACATGTTAGTGAAGTGTTCTATCACAGAGCTATATCCACAGCTATAGTCACAGCTTCCCCCCCCCCTTTTTTTTTTTGGACACAGGGTTTTACTATGCAGTTCAGTCTGGTCTTGACCTCACTTGACCTCATGCTGGCCTCCAACTCACTGTGATCCTCCTGCCTCAGGCCCCCTGCTCCAGCGTTGGGATTACAGGCATGCGCCACCACGCCCTGCTAGTCACAGCATTTTTGATGAGTCTATGATAACTTATTTTATATGTGTTTCTGTTTATTTAAAAACATATAATATGCATTGTTGATTAATTCACATTCATTTCATGGGCCAGCAGTATTATAACTTACAACTAAATAAAATTTAGCATGAATTTTCTCTATAAGGTATTTCATAGTCATCTTGCAATTAGAAACACTTGCCAGCACATAAACCTTGGCCATTTTAAAAACAAAATCACCAGCCAAAAGTACAAAATACAGATGAGCCATCGTGCTAAATAGTCTGCGAAAAGGACACTTGTTTACAGAATTTGGGCTAAAGCAAGAAGGTACAGCATACCTTGGTTCCACCTTGGCTGGGAATGCATGAGTCAGTAGCTCAATGAGATAGCTCACTAGCATGTGTGAGGCTCCAGCACTGCTAAATAAACAAATACATTAAAAAGTTAATACTTCCTGGCATATTTAAGTTTCATAATTGAAAATGTCAGATTAACACAACATTATATTTGCTATGGTGATCATAATTGCCAGTGATGGTGACAATAGTTTATAGCGATACTGTATGGGTTTATAGAAACTCATCAAACTTGAACTAAGACAAGTTTCTTATTTTCTAGGTGCAAACAGCTGCACAGCAAGTGGCAGAGGATAAATTTGTTTTTGACTTGCCTGATTATGAAAATATCAACCATGTTGTGGTTTTTATGCTGGGAACAATCCCGTTTCCTGAGGGAATGGGAGGATCTGTCTACTTTTCCTATCCTGATTCAAATGGAATGCCAGTATGGCAACTCCTAGGATTTGTCACAAATGGGAAACCAAGTGCCATCTTCAAAATTTCAGGTCTTAAATCTGGTAAGAATAATAATAATTGAATAATTAAACCTTTTCTTAAATAACATGAAAGAAATATGGCTTTTAAACCATTATATTTTTCTGGTTGCTAAAATAGTGCATAACATGTTTTGAAAAGCAGATGAAACAGAAACATTTGAATAATAGTAAGTAAAAGGCTTCTTTGACTTCTTCATTCCTTCCCTCTTCCCCTGAAACCTGAAAACAACCACTCAGTATTGTTCTCTTCAGGTTTTTCTGAATTAGTTGGTGTTTTCATAAATAGTGAAAGGAGTCTCTCATAACTTGTAATATTCATATCTATTTTTTAAATGAATAGATAAACCAGGTGAATTGTACAGGAAGTAGAATTGGAGCAAACTGTACAGGAAGTAGAACTGGAGTGAATCTTTTCTTTCATTAAGATTTTTGAGCTACAGCGGCAAAAGCGCCTGCCTTGCAAGCGCAAGGTCGTGAGTTCGGTTCCTGGTACCGGAGAAAAAAAAACAAACAAAAAAAAAAGATTTTTGAGCTAGGCAATGTAGTGCATGCCTGTTATCCCCGCTTCCCTGGAGGCTGAGGCAGAAGGATCACAGATTTGAGCCTAGCCTGGTTAATTTAGCAAGACCCTCTCTCAGTGCGAAGGCTTTGGATTCAATTTCCAGTACTTTGCGTAAATAACGTAAGTAAATAAATAGATTTTGAACTCTCAATTTGATTTCTCCAGTTCTTATTTTGGTTCTGTTGACACTGCAAGGATATAATTCTCTTTTTTTTTTTTTTTTTTTTTTTTGGGTACTGGGAATCGAACTCAGGGCCTTGCGCTTGCCGGGCAGGCACTTATCCCACTGAGCTATATCCCTACCCCCCTGCAAGGATATGATTCTTGCTTTGATACTTAAGATACTTTGTGAAGAAATTTGAGAATGAAGTTAGATAGGTGCCATTTACTCCTGTTGAATGTCTGGCTTGCTCAAATCTAGATGAAGACATGTATGAAAACTCTTAAAGTATAGGTCTGTATTATTATAGAAATTGTTGATGAAATTTAAGGAAAGACTATATTTAGGGAGCAGGTAAGTGACTTGTTTATGTGGGTATCTACTGTGGGAATTTAAAGATACTGATTAAGTTCTTGCCGAAATAACTCATTCTTAGAGAAGTTGCTTCTGTAGACCAGTAATTAGAACAGCAAAAGTAATAGTAGGTGTTTGTGCAAATTGCTGAAGGAGAGTAGAAAGATGAGCAATTTCCTTATAGGTGAGTTGTGGGAAGTTACTGGCACCCTTAGGGAGACAAGTAGGACTTTGTCAGGCTTAGGAGAGACCTATTGGGCATTTGTTTCTAGGTGTGTATGATAGGAGTTGAAGGCAAAACTTGAAGGCATGGTGTGCTCCGAATGGCACAAGGCAGAGTATATGAGAAGGATAGAGATGACTCATGAAAAGGTGTATGTATACTGACTTATTTGGAATTTAAGTAATTTTTAACATGTTTAGGACATAGACCTCTTTGATAGTATGATAAAAAGTTAATGAGCCATAATGGAAACACTTGAGAACTTACTAAACAAAACTGACTGAAGAATAAATTGAGGGCTAGGGATTTAGCTCGGTGCACAGTGCCTGCCTGGCAAGGGTGAGGTCCGGAGTTTGATTTCTGATACTCCCGCCAAAAAAGAATAAATTGACATTCTGAATAGATATACTATCAATAAAGAAATTCAAATCAATAATTAGAATTTTTATATCTAGTTACAGAAAATAGTTACAAAGTAAATTGAGGGGTTGGGGCTATAGATCAGCGTACAGCACCTGCCTGGCAAGTGCAAGGTCCTGAATTTGATTCCCGGCACCAAAAACAGCAACAACAACAAAACAACAAAAATAAATTGAATTGATATCTTACTATTAAAGACTTTTCATTGTAAAAAGTTCACATATATATAAAATCAGACCAAATGGAATGTTACACTCATCACCCAGCTTCAAAAATGGCCAATTTACAGATGTTATTTCACTGAGATTCTCAATTTTAAAAAAACTAGGACCTGGCATATAGCTCAGTGGCACAGCACCTGCCTGGCAAGCACAAGGTCCTGAGTTTGATTCCCAGTACCAAAAAACAAAAACAAAGAAAACTATACTACTATCACACCTAAAACCAAACAATAAGTCTTAATATCAATTTGAACATCTGTGATCAGTATCCATATTTCCAGTGGTCTCAAAAGCTTTATGTTTATATAGTTTTAACATCCATTACAGTCCTTACATTTCAGTTGGTTGATAGATTTCTCAAATATCTCATAAAAATCAAAGGTTTAATATATTCCCTTCCTAGTAAATTAGTTGAATTTAGAGATTTGGTCACATTTTGTTTGAGTTGATTTTTAAAAATGTTTTTGTCAGAATTGTAACAGGAGATCATGTATTCTTTCATCAGAAACATACATAGTTAGCTCTCTTTTTTGTGACATTAGCCATTTATAGGCAGTACCTTTATTAATAATTCAGTAGGGGTTCAAAATGATGATGTTCTAGTTTTGTCATTTCATTGCTTCATTGTAACGAGAAACATGCTACTATATATCTGTCTCAGTTTCAAGAGAGAATTAAAGGAAACGGCAGGTTAAATACTCAGTTCTTTCCTTTTGTAGATGAGTGTTCAAAACGTAAGTTGATTTTCCTCTGGCATAAGATTCTCTAACAAGGTAATTCAATGAAAGTTCTTTTAAAAAAAAGAAATATGAAATGATGGATGTATGTGCATTTGCTTTATATCTGATGTATTTTAAGCAATCACACACCATTGAAATTCTTAAGACCCAATTTCAGTTTTTCAGTTTGCTTTTTAAGCCAGATAATCATATTTCATGGTTTTTATCTTAAATTCTCCAAAGAAAATTTACGTTGTTATTAGGAAGATTTAATAGCTTTATTGGAATATAATTGATGCGTAGTAAATTGCACATATTTAAAGTACAGAGTTTGCTAACTTTTGCTGTTTCTTAACGCTTGTGGAACTGTCACCACAGTCAAAATAATGGACATATACCCTGCCCCTAAAAGTTTACTGGTTTGCCTTTGTAATCTCTCTTATGTACTCCCACACCTTTGGCAACTACTGACCTATTTTCTGTCCTTATAAAATAGTTTGTATTTTCTAGAATTTTATATAAATGAAATCATGTGATATATACTTTTACCTGGTTTCATAATTTATATTATAATTAATTTAATCATGTTGTATATTAGTAGTTCATGCCTTTTTATTGCTAGGTAGCAGTCCATTGTATATATATATATTGCAATTTATTCACCTGGTGACAAACGATTGGATTATTTCTAGGGTTTGGCTTACAAAGATAAAGCTACTGTGAACATTTGTGTGCAATTCTTTGTGTGGACATATACTTTAATTTCTCTTGCATACATATGGAAGAGTGGAAAGGCTAGATCGTATGGTACTTAGATACTTTACTTTTTAAGAAACTACCAAACTATTTTCCAGTATAATTGACCTGTTTTATGTTTCAACTATCAGTGTATGAAAAGTTCTAGTTCCTTTACATTTTTGTCAACATTTGGTGTGGTCACTTTTAGCTATTTTAGTATCATTTTAGTGTAGTGGTGTCTTATCTTACATTTCTCTAGTGATATTGAGCATTTTTCATGTGCCTTTTGCTTTCTCTGTACCTTCTTTGGTGAGTGTGTGTTCAGATATTTTGCCTTTTTTTTTTACATGGGTTATTTTCTTAATTTTTAATTTTGAGACTTCTGCATACATACATTTTTGATATAAGTTCTTTATCAGATGCATGACTTTAAATACTTTTTTTTCCAGTCTTTGGCTGGTCTTTTTCTTATCTTTTATTACTCTACAAGTTTCTAATTTTTATGAAGTATAAATTTCTGCTTTGTAATTTTGTGGATTGTGCTTTTACTGTGGTAACTAAGAAATCTTTGCTAACTCCAAGTTACAAGAATTTTCTCTTGGAAGTTTTATGGTTATAGGTTTTACATTTATATCTGGGATCTAATTTGAATTAAATTTTATATGTATTGCAAAGTATCTGTCTTGGCAAATGGATATGCAGTGGTTCTAGCAGCACAGCTGGTTTAAAAGAAAGTCATGAACACATTTTCCTGTGAATGTCAGCATGTTCACTTGATATTCACTAGGGAACTCTTAAGCTGCTCTGTTTTAAAGTGAAATATAAACATACATGAGTACTTATGTATTTATTTTAAGAGGAAAGAAATGTAAAAAATTGTTTTATAGTTTATTTTTTTAAATAAAACTCTAGTTGGAAAATGATGGATTGGATAGACTTATTTTGTAGCCAGACTCATGTGCAGTGATTAAGGGGAATATATTAGAGTCCTGGTCACTAGCCAGTAGACCAGAACACATTGGTTGTTTTTTGATTCATACTAATTAAATTGTCAGTGTAAATGTATGTACTTTTGCTTGTCTTTGCTACAATTTTGCCAGCATTTTGAGCTTCGAATAGGGGTCACAATATCCCTTTTTCTTTTATGATCAACACTGCATTCCCTGAAGGAGATGCTTTGAGAACAGTGAAAAGTGCTTTCTCTTGTCCTTTTTGCATTGCCTTTGACTGTCTTCCCTTTCCTCTTGTGACATCTAAGAGGTTGGGGAGGCACTCTAGGGTCATATGAACCTAGACATTTCCTTATTGTGTTATTTCATCGAAACCTGGAGAAAATTCAGCGATTAAAAGTGAGTCAATCAAATTACTGTAACTAAAATTTTAGGAATAATATTACAGTGAGAATTTTTTTTTGTTGGTTTAGATAAAACATTCTAAAATCTAATCTCAGAGTAATACTTTATCTAGTATGGGAAGATTGTTTTTTTCCATTATGGTAATAAGATAAGTTATTCTGCTTTTTAAAAGAGTTTCTAATAATTTTCATTATAATATGGCTATTGCTTGTTTTATCCACAAAAACAAATTGTCAAGGCAGCATTTGTGATGATAAAGCACAATGCTT